TACATACATACATACATACATACATACATACATACATACATACATACATACATAAAGACGTTCTAGGCATGTCCTAGCCGCCTGTCTGTGTGTGTGTCTGTCTGTATGTGGTTGTATGTCTGTCTATGCATCTGTCTGTTGAAAGCACGATAATGACCGAAAGAAAAGAGCTAGGGAATATAAAATATGGGACTATATTTCACCTAGACCCCAAATGACCACCCGGATTACTGTTTAAGCAGACATAACTGGTTCAAAAATAACAGTATAGCAATGAAATGTGATATAAAAAGTTTTACATAAACCAAAATGTTTGCACCAAATTTTACGACAATCGCTCCATATAAAGTACCCTTCAGAAAATGTCGCTCATTACTGACTTATAAATACGATCATAGCGATGAAATTTCACATAAGTTTTATACGAACCAAACTCATTATACTAAACTTTATGAGGATCGGTCGAACGAGTTTCTTCAGAAAATTACTTTAACGCTCATTACTGATTTAAAAATACGAGCAACGAAATTCAACATAAGAAAAGCAACAAAAATCTTCCTAACGAATTTCAGATGGATCGTTCGGTCGATAACTAAGAATATCACCAAATATCGACATTAGTAAATAAGAAATTTTATTTTTTTATTCTATTATAATTGTGCTATTTAAAACAAGTTTTTATTTGCATACATAATAACTTAATAAAGTCTACATTTTGTTTTAGGATTCATAAATGTGCCTGGCAAACAATCAAAGGCCTCCGAAAACGATTGAAAATTCATTAAAATCTGCTGCAAACGTACGTCATCTGCATTATGATCTATGAAATTTACATTATCTTTGGCACAGAAAAACTGTGCCAAATTCATAAAGAATTCTTTACGCCAATCACCTTTATGATTTTCCGAATAATATTCCAAATAAGTGCGATAGGCAACTCTAATGGCAAAAAGATCAGCAATACATTCATCAATATCTTCAGTAGGCTGTTGATGTTGCAAACAGTCTAAGGAATTGGAAAAGTTAGCATTAACCAATATATCGGAGGAAAAGGGTAAAAGCAATCCCTTTTGATCATAATTTAAACCAGTAGTATCGAATGCATGCGTTAGTTCATGAGCCAAAACAAAACCAAAAACTGATAACTGTTGCAGAGGCGTTTGTTGAGAGTCAAAAAATGGTAATGCAAAATTGTCCAGAGGTATGACGATCATATTCTGTTGAGCCACATAATAAGCTGAGGTAATAGCACCCAAACGATTGTCGCTCACTATGAAATGTGTCTGATGTTGAGCATAGTATAGAGATTTATGAAAACGATGTTTTAATAATAACAAATGATTTCTGTAGTAATTATTTGCCGCCAATTGTGGTAAATCCTGATAATATTTATCTATCATAGTAAAATTTATATTTATGGGTAAATTTCCTTGATTTATATAAATATGTTTTAATTTATTTTGCAAATAATTTATTTGCTGTTTGGAAAGATTTAAATGATTTTCATTGAAATATTTCGTCATAATTTCTTTGATTTCTTGAGCCAATTTATCGAGAGTTATTTTAGAACTATGTTGTTTCCTAAAAAAAGGATAATGATAAAATATATAGTTTACCGCCAAATCAAATTTTTGCCTCAAATCTTTAATACACTCCAGAGGCTTAAAACCAGTTGTGCTGTCCTTGGCCAAGTAAAGTAAAAATTTTACCATCAAATAATTGCACAAATGTTCCAGTTCCTCAGCAGTCCATAGTTTTTGATTAAGATGCTCAAAATATTGCAGATTTTCCACAGTAATATTTGCCAGATTATGTACTTCCTTACCCAAGAGATTTTCAAAATATAATTTTAAATTAAGTTTAGGATAGATTTTAGCTATATTCTCCAAGTTAGTGACTTTACTCTCAAAGTTATTCGAATATTTTAGCCTTAAGTTTTGCCATTCTAAATCGGTATTAATCAATTGTTGTAGAATTGTTTCTATATTCTGTATGCCCAAAGTCTTCAACAATACTTGCCAAATTTGTCTTTCGTTTAGTTCATCCTCCTTTTCTTCGGTCACAGCTGGTGTTAGCCAAATATTAAGCTTATTATCCTTATTTCTTACAATTTGCATATTAACTATAATATTATTTAAACCATAAGACTGCAGTTGTCCCAATAAAGACCACAAATCAAAGTTCATATCTGTTGCCAACCATTGCAGCTGGTTTCCATCCAATAAAGGCCAATTTAATTTGTTACTGGGTTTGATTTCTTTAAAATATTTTCTTAACTCTCTTTTAGTTTCCCTTTTACAGGACTCCAAATATAGTCCCATTTTATCATAATACGTTTGCTTTCGGCTATACAAGTGATATTGCAAGGAGTTGCGTAAATGTTTCATTAATATTTTATTCATTTCAAAATTTAATTTTTGTGTTATTTCACCGTAGTTGGGATCAGGATTATCTCGGCTATAGTTACTGCAGGCGTAAGCATAAAAATTCTCACAGGGTCCTTTGGGGATCAGTGCAGCAGTTTGTGCATATTTTAAAATTAAATAAAATAATAATTTATAGCAAATGATTTCCAATGCTCTCATGTTGGCGTGTTTCAAAGTACGTTTTAAAAATAATAATGATTTGAATTGACGATAAGAATGATCAAGAAATACATTGATGTATAAATAAACGACATATGTATTCAGAAAGCTTTGTAATAAAAGCTATGAGTGTGTAAACTAAATAAAACAACAACGATGGGAGTTGTATATACATTTCGAGCGGTATATTTAACTGTATTATAAATTAGTCAGTCAGTCAGTTAGTCAGTTAGTTTGTTAGTTAGTTAGTTAGTTAGTTAGGTAGGTAGTTAGTTAGTTAGTTAGTTAGTTAGTTAGTTAGTTAGTTAGTTAGTTAGTTAGTTAGTTAGTTAGTTAGTTAGTTAGTTAGTTAGTTAGTTAGTAGTTAGTTAGTTAGTTAGTTAGTTAGTTAGTTAGTTATTAGTTAGTTAGTTTAGTTAGTTCGTTCTCGTTAGTTAGTTAGTTTAGTTCGTTCGTTTTCGTTAGTTCGTTAGTTCGTTCGTTATTCGTTAGTTCTTTCGTTTCGTTCGTTCGTTCGTTCGTTAGTTCGTTTGTTAGTTCGTTAGTTCGTTCGTTCTTGTTCGTTTTCGTTCGTTCGTTAGTTAGTTCGTTCGTTCGTGTTTTTAGTTCGTTCGTTCGTTCGTTTTCGTTCGTTGTTCGTTCGTTCGTTCGTTCGTAGTTCTTCGTTCGTTCGTTCGTTCGTTCGTTCGTTTCGTTAGTTCGTTCGTTCGTTCGTTGTTCGTTCGTTCGTTCGTTCGTTCGTTCGTTCGTCGTTCGTTCGTTCGTTCTTTCGTTCGTTCGTTTTCGTTCCGTTCGTTTTCGTTAGTTAGTTCGTTCGTTTCGTTCGTTCGTTCGTTCGTTCGTTTCTTCGTTTCTTTCGTTCGTTCGTTCGTTCTTCGTTCGTTCGTTCGTTTAGTTCGTTCGTTCGTTCGTTCGTTCGTTCGTTCGTTCGTTCGTTCGTTCGTTCGTTCGTTTTTCGTTCGTTCGTTCGTTCGTTTCTTCGTTCGTTTCGTTCGTTCGTCGTTCGTTCGTTCGTTCGTTCGTTCGTTCGTTCGTTCGTTCGTTCGTTCGTTCGTTCGTTCGTTCGTTCGTTTCGTTCGTTCGTTCGTTCGTTCGTTCGTTCGTTCGTTCTTCGTTCTTCGTTCGTTCGTTCGTTCGTTCGTTCGTTCGTTCGTTCGTTCTTCGTTCGTTCGTTCGTTCGTTCGTTCGTTCGTTCGTTCGTTCGTTTCGTTCGTTCGTTCGTTTTCGTTCGTTCGTTCGTTCGTTCGTTCGTTTCGTTCGTCTCGTTCGTTTTTCGTTCGTTCGTTCGTTCGTTCGTTCGTTTCGTTCGTTCGTTCTTCGTTCGTTTTCGTTCGTTCGTTCGTTCTTCTTTCGTTCGTTCTTCGTTCGTTCGTTCGTTTCGTTCGTTCCGTTGTTCGTTCGTTCGTTCGTTCGTTCGTTCGTTCTTCGTTTTAGTCGTTCGTTCGTTCGTTCTTTCTTTCGTTCGTTCGTTCGTTCGTTCTTCGTTCGTTCGTTCGTTCGTTCGTTCGTTCGTTCGTTCGTTCGTTCGTTCGTTCGTTTTCGTTTCGTTCGTTCGTTCGTTCGTTCGTTGTTCGTTAGTTCGTTCGTTCGTTCGTTCCGTTCGTTCGTCGTTCGTTCGTTCGTTCGTTTCGTTCGTTCGTTTCGTTCGTTTCGTTCGTTTGTTTTGTTCGTTAGTTCGTTTCGTTTCGTTCGTTAGTTCGTTCGTTAGTTAGTTAGTTTGTTTGTTAGTTCCCATTTTATCTACCCTCGCTGTTGTCGGCACCCCCATCTCCCTAGACCCCTTACCGACTCTCTTGCTTCCCTCATTCCCTTTTTTTTTCCCATTTTATAAATATTTCCTTCTTTCTACTTATCTTTACCTTCAATTTCCTTTCCGAACTTTTCGTGTATACTTTCTATATATCTAAAACTAAATCCCAATCCATTCTGCATATGCAATCGTGTCACGTCCAGAATGAAAATCCAGCATTATCTCAATAAAGTCTACATTTAGTTTTAGGATTCATAGGTTCACCTTCTTCACAACCAAAGGTCTCCGAGAATGGTTGAAAATTCATTAAAATTTGCTGCAAACGTATGGCATCTGAATCATGATCAATAAAATTTAGATTATCTTTGCCACAGAAAAACTGTGCCAGATTTAGGAAAAACTCTTTCCGCCAATCCTCTGCTTCATCTTCCTTTGCATAGTTTTCCAAATAAGTACGATAAACCAGCCGAACAGCAAAGAGATCAGCAATACGTTCATCAATGTCGTCGGTAAACTGCTGATGTTGCATACAATCTAAGGAGTTGGTGAAATTAACATGATCGATTATATCTGAGGAAGAGGATAAAGGAAAACCCTGTTTATCATAACTTAGGCCGGTAGTATCAAATGCATGTGTTAGTTCGTGAGCTAAAACAAAACCGAAAAGTGATAACTGTTGAAGAGGTGTTTGGGTGTAGTTGAATAGGGGTGACTGGAAACTGCTAAACGGTATAACTACCAGATTTTGCTGAAGTACATAAAATGGCGAGGAAACACTACCCATACGATTGTCTGATACTATGTAATGCGTTTGAGTTTGAGGATAATACATAGATTTGCGAAAACGATGTTTCAACAGTAACAAATGATTTTTATAGTAATTACTTTCATCCAAATCGGGTAAATCCCTATAAAAGGCTTGTAAATTGGAATAAGAAGGCCTGGGTAAATTTCCTGTATTCGCATTAATACCTGCCAGTTTTTTCTTTAGGTAAATAATTTGTTGCTCAGAAAGGCTTAAATAATTGTCTTCAAAAATCTCTGCCATCGTGGCTTTTATTTTGAACCAGATGTTATTCAAAGCTTCACTAAATTGGTTTGCTTCCCTTTTATAAAACTCCTCAGAATAAAAATAATTTACAGCCAGATCAAATTTACGGCGTAAATCTTGCATACAATCGAGCGGTGTAAATGCAGTTGTACTATCCTCGGCTAAATAAAACAGAAACTTCATCATTAAGTAGTTGCACAAATGTTCCAGCTCCTCGCTAGTCCAGTGTCTTTCATTTAAATACTCAAAATATTTCGGATTTTCTAAAGTTATATTTGCCAGATTATTTAACTCTGAACCCAACAGATTTTCAATATATAATTTTAAACTAAGCTGGGGATAGAGCTTAGCTATATTATCCAATGTCGTCTCTTTACTCTCAGTGGTGTCGACATAACTTTGTGTTAGGTTTTGCCATTTAAAATCGGTTTTACTTAATTGTAGTATTATTGGCTCTGTGTCCTCTATACCCAAAGCCATAAGCAATACTTGCAGAATCGTATTATCGGGTAGGGAACCCCCAATCTCAAGAAAAGCAGGAGCTAGCCAGATATTAAGAGAGTTATCTTTATTCCTGATGATTTGATGATTTACTATGACATTATTTAAACCATAAGATTGCATTTCTCCCAATAAAGACATAAAATCAAACTTGTTAACTGTTGTTTCGTTACGCTCAATATATTTCAATATAAACCATGAATCAAATTCGGTATATAATTGCCGGTTACGCCAAAAAATGTTCATTATATCTCTACGTTCTAAGTAATTATATATAATAACATCACTAACATTTTTATCTGCCTCCAACCATTGATCTTTGTGTTTCCATAAGGGCCAATTTAAATTATGGCTCGGTTTGATTTCATTAAAATATTTTCGTAAATTTCTTTGTGTTTCATTTTCACATGAGTCCAAGTACATAAGGATTTTCGCATAAAATGTGTGTATATTAGGGTCAGCAATCTGTTTACGATTTTTTCTTATCCAATATTTGCAATAACTTTTTATTCATTTCATAATTCAATTTTTGTGTTATTTCACTATAGTTGGGATCAGGATTCTGTTGACTGTAATTACTGCAGGCGTATTTGTAGAAATTCTGACAGGGTTCGTTGGAATCATTAGCTGATTTTGTACATTTAAAACTTAAGGTAAGTTCACATTTATGAAATATTTGACGATTTTTAACAAATATTTCTTTGCACTAATGTGAACAACAAATATTTTTGATTATTAAACACAAAAACAGCTGATTTGTAACAAACAAAATTGTTTGGCGGTGATCAAATATGTTATTAATGTGAACATAATGTGAACACCATGCATAAAATATTTTCATCGATTTTCAGCAAATAATTGTTTGGTCTTGCAAGTGAAATGTAAGAACAAACAGCATTAAATAACAGCTGTTATGAGTTATTTTGGCTAAAAAATGAGTGTTGTCTAGTAAATAAATAAAAACTGAAAATTTTTCCTATAATAATTATTGGATTTGAAAAATTTATTTTTTAATGTTTAAAAAAGTATATATATATATATATGTATATATATATATTTATATATATATTTGGTATAAATCTAGCGTTCTAATTCAGATGATTTTAAAACATACCACATAATAGTAACATAACAAAGGCAAAAAAACTCTTCGCTCTATTAGGGTCCGGGAGTTACGGGCCTCCAAAGTTTTGATATATAATCGGATATATCTCGATTACTGATTAAACGATATGGTCGATATGGCTGTCAGTGGAAAGGTCTCTGAAATACCTTTCAATTGATGTATAGTATGGCATATATCATTAACCCATTGAGAGCCAAGTTCAAATTTTATGTTTTTTCTTTTGACTTTTTTACAAAAGTAACGTTATCTCAAATATATATGGATATAAGCGTACCTCATCTCACATTAAATTTTCATATTTATACATACTCTTACATTTTTAGCACATGTATATTTTACACTTTTAGCTAGGGGAAACTTTAAAAACTTTAACTATTTTTAAAAAATGAAAAATTATTTTAAAAAAATCGAGCCATATTTTAGAAAATTCACCAATTTTACCAAAAAGAGAAACATTATTTTAAAAAATCAAGCGTCATAACAAATCCTAGCAATATCACCAAAAAGTGAAAAATTATTTTAAAAAAATTGAGCGATTTTTTTTTAATTTTTAAAATAACCTAATACTAAATAAAAGACATACATTTCTAACTAATTTTATAGAAATAATAAATAATAAATAAACTAAATATTTTCACTTACATACGACAAAAATGTTTAAACTTGCATAACTTTTGCATTTCATGGATTATAGCTCTCAAACATATGTATATCATAGGAAATGTCAAAATATTGTCTACAAAATTTCATGTGAGATGAGGTATTTTTATATCTATATATTTTTTTGTTAAAAAAGTCAAAATTAAAAAAAAAAAAAAATTTGACCCTGGCTCTCAATGGGTTAATGATACATATTATACATCAATGGAAAGCTATTTCAAAGGCATTTCCAATGATACCCATATCGAACATATTGGTAATGTTGATGTTTGCTTAAATATGATTAAAATTTAAATTTTCTAAAAATATTAATTTTCAAACTAACATAACTCTTGCATTTCATGGGTTATAGCTTTCAAACATATATCATAGGAAAGCCCCAAACGTTGTCTACAAAATTTCATGTGAGATGAGGTACCGTTATGTCGATAAATTTATGAGATAACGGCACATCTGTAAAAAAAATTCAAAAGAAAAAACATAAAATTTGACTCTGGCTCTCAATGGGTTAATGATATATATCATTTTATACATCAATGGAAAGTTCTTTCAAAGACCTTTCCAATGATACCCATATCGACCATATCGGTTAATTAGTAATCAAGAATTATCCAATTATATATCAAAACTTTGGAGGTCCATAACTCCCGGCCCCTAAGAGGGTGCAGATTTTTTTTTTCATCTCTGTAGTCAGAAGAAAAAAGACTACCAGGTATTGAAAAAATCTCTTAAAATCAGCTGAATTAGAACGCTTGATGAATTCCTTAAATATATACAACCAATAATATAATATTGTAAAAGCACTTGCAGTTTTTAGCGATTTAATATTTAAATAGCATTGACCACATTAAAATAAAAGTAAACAAGCAGCTGTGCTGACTTTTATTAAAAAAAATTGTGCACAGTTAAATTAAATTAAATAAAAACAAAAAAGAAATACATACTTAAATAAATTTCAAAGGCATTAAAATTTACTTTATGTTGAATTAAAAATCATAGAATATGCAAAATTTTTGCAGACATGGATGTTAAAGAACCAGTAGCCAAAAAAGCCCGTACAAAACCAAAATCTTTTAAAGATTGGGAAGAAAATGATATTTTTAAATTAATTTCATTGGTAGAGGCTGAGCCCTGTTTGTGGAACGCCTCAATGGATGGATACCACAATAAAGCCATTCGCGACATTGGCTGGCTAAATATTGCCGATAACTTTGAACCCGCATATTCGGTAGTGGATGTAACCACCAAATGGACAAATTTGCGAATTCAATATAGGGGGTATGCCGCCCGTTCTAAAACAAAGTCAGGACAGGGCACAATGGAAATGCCTAAATGGAAATATTTTAATGCTATGGCTTTCGTAGGCCGAGCCGAGGATCACCAAACACAACCAACAATTTCCAATTTAAATATTGCCCATGGTACCGATAATAATAGTAAGTGTATATTTTAAAAAAATATGTACCTCAATAACAAAAAACTTGTAACTTATATCCAGTTGATAGCGACACCCCCCACTACGTCAACACCACCATTATCTACCCCAACAATTACCCGTCGCACACAACCCTCAAATCAACAATCGGCAGCAACACAAATTGCAGAAACAATGCGTGATGCGGTTAATGTAATGAAAGAGCGTAAAGAAAATGCATCAGACCCAAATACGTCTTTCGCTAATTACATTCTAAGCGAGTTAAAAACTTTAAATAGCACAGAAGCTGCGACTGTGAGAAAAAAGGTTACTCTTTTCTTTATTCAATGCCTGGATGAGGAAAAAAATAGTAATAGTAAAAATTAAATAATGTATTATAGTTAATGTTTATATTTCGTTTATTTTTGTTATTAAATTTACATATTTTTGTTATTGTATTTATATGAAACAAACATTGTTGTTATTATATTATAAACTTAAAAATTGTTTATGATTCTTTAATATAATCCATTCTAGTATGTCCTATTGATTTATATATATATATATATATAGTCTATAGTCTAGACCATTGACTAGTCTATAGTCTAGACTATTGACTAGCCTACAGTCTACACTATTGACTAGACTACAGTCTACACTATTGACTAGACTATTGACTAGTCTATAGTCTACACTATAGACTAGTCTATAGTCTAGACTATTGACTATCTATATATATAAAAATGAAAGTGTGTTTGTATGTATGTAAGTTTGTTTGTTTGTTTGTGCTTTATAGACTGCTAAACGGCTGGACCGATTTTCCTGAAATTTTCACAGTTTCTTCCTGTATGTCTGGAAGGAACTATAGGCTACTTTTTATGTTGAAATTTCATGTGGGCGACGTGCCACGCCCATATTAAGAAAATATTAAATTAGTATATCTGAGATAATATAATAGTTAGAGTCTTCAAATTTTGTCGGAGCAACTTTAGTATCAATATAATTATTTAAGACAAAAAGTGGGCGGATTAGCATTAGGGGGCGTGGCACCTCCCATATAAATTTAATACAAAAATTCGTTTATCTTGGAAACTATTATAGTTAGAATATTAAAAATTTGCACGAGTAACTTTAACATCCATGTAAACATTTTGGGAAATAAATTGGCGGACTACCCATGAGGGGATCAGCACCTCCCATATTAATAAAATACAAAAATTGGTTTATCTGGGAAACTAATAGAACTAAATTCTTCAAATTTTGCACTAAGAACTTAAGTATTCATCTGAACATTTTGGAGAAAAAAGAGCGGACTTTCGTCATGGGGGGCTTGGAGGCCCCATATAAATTAAATAGGAAAATTATTATATCTGAGAAACTATTAGAGCTAGAATCTTCAAATTTTAATTGAAGAACTTTACATTCATGTGAACATTCAGAGAATAACGGGCGGACTTTCAATGGGGGCTTGGCACCTCACATATGAATTAAATACAAAATTTCGCTTATCTGGGAAACTAATAGAACAAGATTCTTCAAATATTGCAAGAAGAACTTTATTATACATATGAACATTTTGGAGAAAAAAAGGGCGGACTTTCATCTGGGGGCTGTGAGTTCCCATGTGAATTAAATAGAAAAATTCGTATATCTGAGAAACTATTAGAGCTAGAATCTTCAAATTCTACATGAAGATCTTTGACATTAATGTGAACATTTAGAGAATAACGGGCGGACTTTCAATGGGGTCTTGGCACCTCCTATATGAATTAAATAAAAAATTTCGTATATCTGGGAAAATATTAGATTTTTTTTTAATTTGTCATCGATTACATCAAAATCTTAATTTACGTTCGGAACAAATGTATCTCTGGAAAACATTACAGTTAGAATCTTCAAAATTATTAAGAAGATTTTTTATTTACATATATTGCTTTTAGGGTAGCAAAGCACACTGGGTATAGCTAGTAGTCTATAATCTAGGCAATTGACTAGTCTAGTCTATAGTCTAGACTATTGATTAGCCTACAGTCTACACTATTGACTAGCCTACAGTCTACACTATTGACTAGTCTATAGTCTAGACTATTGTCTAGTCTATAGTCTAGACTATTGACTATAGTCTATAATCTAGGCAATTGACTAGTCTATAGACTAGATTATTGACAAGTCTATAGATTTGTATTGATATAGTCGAGACTATTGTCTAGTCTAGTTTATAAACTAAACTATAGACTAGACTATATTGTAGACTATAGACTGGACTATAGCCTAGACTATAAGCTAGAATAGTCTGTAGGCTGGACTATAGAATATACTAGTTTATAATGTAGTCTATAGTCTAGACTTTAGACTTGGTTATAGGCTAGACTGGACTGAATCATAGTTTTAATATTATTATTTATTTGATTTTTTCTGTAAACTATTTACAAGTAGAAATTTATAACCGATTTAGAAATTTAAATTAAGAAAATCATATTTTTTTTTATAAATTTTCTTTATTATCGTGGTAATATTAATAACTGAATTAGCTATATAAAAAACCAACAGTCTTTCTGTAGAATTTTTATATATGTTTATATTGAAACGGAACTTCTCCCTCTTCAATAAAATATTGGGAGAATTCTTCTCGAATTACTGAGGTTTCTTGATTAACATATGAGCGGTGTGGTCGGAGGTTTGGTAAATTTTGGTCGATGTCATTCCGCCATTCACCAGGGATTAGAGTGCCATCCTCGGAATAGTGGTCAACCAATTTCGGATTGAAATATACGGTTTTTTTTGGGTCATCAAAAAATTGTGCAGAGCACAGCAAGCACAAGTTATTGTGCGTACTTTCGTGGGTTCAAGCATTATTGCGCTTCGTAATATTCTAAAACGAGCAGATAGAATTCCGAAAGCATTTTCTATAACCCTTCTCGCTCTTGACAATCTATAATTATAAATTCTTTGTGTTGCCGTTAATGTTCGCAAGCTATAGGGTTTTAACAAGTGTGGTGAGATAGCGAATGCATCATCAGCAACAAGCACATATGGTACCGGAATATTTCTAGATGGAAGTGGTTCAGAAGGTGGCAAATTAAGTTTATTATTGGTCATAGCTTCATTGAAGGAACTTTTGCGAAAAACGCCACCATCTGATATCCGACCATTTGATCCAACATCAATATACAGGAATTTATAAGATGCATCCGAAATCCCCATTAGGACTATGCTATGTGTGCCTTTACAAAATAGCGGATAGGAATTTAAATAAGTCATATTTTATTGTTTAGGAATTCATTTTACCTTTATAATTGTAATAAATACTTCCTGAATGTGCTGGTGCTTTCATAACCACGTGCTTTCCGTCTAAAGCTCCTATGCAATTGGGAAAATTCCACTTATGCAAAAACTCCTCAGATATAGCTTTCCATTCTTCGATGGTTGATGGTGTCTATATTTTGATAATTAAAGAAATTAGTGTATTCCAAATAACCGTCAGTTAATGGTACCTTTAAATATTCCGGCTGAAGTACATTGTAAATTGCATTACAAACTCCTGGAACTATAACCGAGATTGTATTAAACGGTATCCGAAATACAAACTGGAGAGATCTAAAACTCTCACCTGTTGCCAAGTAACGAAGAGTAACCGCTAAACGTTCGGTGGCAGAAATGGGTTCCCGGAATCTTGTAGTCTGCTTCGTTATTAGAGGCTTAACTAGATTTAACTAAGGAAGCTATTAAAAGGTAATTAGGAATTTATATTACAACATAGAAACTTGCCAAATAATCAAAATCTTTTGCCTTCATTCTTAAAAAGTTGTGATACAGTGTTGGAGTTTCCAAGCGAAGCTCTTTCAACAACTTTGCGCAACACCCTTCCTCTTTTCGCCTTCGCACCCACTCACGAACCCATACTCTTTCTTGTTTTTCTTTTTTCCCTTCCAAAAGAATTACTGATACAACACCACAGCATAAAAGAAGAAAAGTATCTTCATTATTCATTTCAAACAAATAAATTTCTGTTTGTTTACTATTTCACTAAACAATTATTTCACACAAATATTTTGTTCAATCTGAACGGGCGGCAAACAAGTTTTTTCTGTTTATATTTTTAGCTATTTGACAGCTGTTTCATGAAACAAAAAACGGCAAATATTTTGTCACAATGTGAACATAAAACCAACTCTGTTTTTATTTCATATGTTTTACAACAAACAAGTGAAAAAATATTTTATGCAAATATTTCATAGGTGTGAACGTACCTTTAGGCAAATTATTAACTTTATGAAAAATATTTTTAAAGCTTTCATTCTAACGCGTGCTTTAAGATTTAAATATAAATTTCAACTAATTTGAAAATTGGCAATTCTCTTCGGGTCAGCGATAAGAATGGCAGATAGGAAAATGCAAAAGTATTGTAAATTATTTATAAATGCAAGCCCCAGAATTTATTAAAAATAAATTAAAATTATTGAGGCAGTGCCGATTACTAGAAAACAACCAAATTATAGTTCATTTGCAGTTCAGTTGTAGTTCAGTTCTAGTTCAGTTCTAGTTCAGTTCTAGTTCAGTTCTAGTTCAGTTCTAGTCAGTTCTAGTTCAGTTCTAGTTCAGTTCTAGTTCAGTTCTAGTTCATTCTAGTTCAGTTCTAGTTCAGTTCTAGTTCAGTTCTAGTTCAGTTCAGTTCTTGTTCAGTTCTAGTTCAGTTCTAGTTCAGTTCTAGTTCAGTTCTAGTTCAGTTCTAGTTCAGTTCTAGTTCAGTTCAGTTCTGTTCTAGTTCAGTTCTAGTTCAGTTCTAGTTCAGTTCTAGTTCAGTTCTAGTTCAGTTCTAGTTCAGTTCTAGTTCAGTTCTAGTTCAGTTCTAGTTCTAGTTCAGTTCTAGTTCAGTTCTAGTTCAGTTCTAGTTCAGTTCTAGTTCAGTTCTAGTTCAGTTCTAGTTCATTCTAGTTCAGTTCTAGTTCAGTTCTAGTTCAGTTCTAGTTCAGTTCTAGTTCAGTTCTAGTTCAGTTCTAGTTCAGTTCTAGTTCAGTTCTAGTTCGTTCTAGTTCAGTTCTAGTTCAGTTCTAGTTCAGTCTAGTTCAGTTCTAGTTCAGTTCTAGTTCAGTTCTAGTTCAGTTCTAGTTCAGTTCTAGTTCTGTTCTAGTTCAGTTCTAGTTCAGTTCTAGTTCAGTTCTAGTTCAGTTCTAGTTCAGTTCTAGTTCAGTTCTAGTTCAGTTCTAGTTCAGTTCTAGTTCAGTTCTAGTTCAGTTCTAGTTCAGTTCTAGTTCAGTTCTAGTTCAGTTTAGTTCAGTTCTAGTTCAGTTCTAGTTCAGTTCTAGTTCAGTTCTAGTTCAGTTCTAGTTCAGTTCTAGTTCAGTTCTAGTTCAGTTCTAGTTCAGTTCTAGTTCAGTTAGTTCAGTTCTAGTTCAGTTCTAGTTCAGTTCTAGTTCAGTTCTAGTTCAGTTCTAGTTCAGTTCAGTTCTAGTTCAGTTCTAGTTCAGTTCTAGTTCAGTTCTAGTTCAGTTCTAGTTCAGTTCTAGTTCAGTTCTAGTTCAGTTCTAGTTCAGTTCTAGTTCAGTTCTAGTTCAGTTCTAGTTCAGTTCTAGTTCAGTTCTAGTTCAGTTCTAGTTCAGTTCTAGTTCAGTTCTAGTTCAGTTCTAGTTCAGTTTCTAGTTCAGTTCTAGTTCAGTTCTAGTTCAGTTCTAGTTCAGTTCTAGTTCAGTTCTAGTTCAGTTCTAGTTCAGTTCTAGTTCAGTTCTAGTTCAGTTCTAGTTCAGTTCTAGTTCAGTTCTAGTTCAGTTCTAGTTTAGTTCAGTTCAGTTCTAGTTCAGTTCAGTTCTAGTTTAGTTCTAGTTCAGTTCTAGTTCAGTTCTAAGTTCAGTTCTATTCAGTTCTAGTTCAGTTCTAGTTCAGTTCTAGTTCAGTTCTAGTTCAGTTCTAGTTCAGTTCTAGTTCAGTTCTAGTTCAGTTCTAGTTCAGTTCTAGTTCAGTTCTAGTTCAGTTCTAGTTCAGTTCTAGTTCAGTTATAGTTCAGTTCTAGTTCAGTTCTAGTTCAGTTCTAGTTCAGTTCTAGTTCAGTTCTAGTTCAGTTCTAGTTCAGTTCTAGTTTCAGTTCTAGTTCAGTTCTAGTTCAGTTCTAGTTTCAGTTCTAGTTCAGTTTCTAGTTCAGTTCTAGTTCAGTTCTAGTTCAGTTCTAGTTCAGTTCTAGTTCAGTTCTAGTTCAGTTCTAGTTCAGTTCTAGTTCAGTTCTAGTTCAGTTCTAGTTCAGTTCTAGTTCAGTTCTAGTTCAGTTCTAGTTCAGTTCTAGTTCAGTTCTAGTTCAGTTCTAGTTCAGTTCTAGTTCAGTTCTAGTTCAGTTCTAGTTCAGTTCTAGTTCAGTTCTAGTTCAGTTCTAGTTCAGTTCTAGTTCAGTTCTAGTTCAGTTCTAGTTCAGTTCTAGTTCAGTTCTAGTTCAGTTCTAGTTCAGTTCTAGTTCAGTTCTAGTTCAGTTCTAGTTCAGTTCTAGTTCAGTTCTAGTTCAGTTCTAGTTCAGTTCTAGTTCAGTTCTAGTTCAGTTCTAGTTCAGTTCTAGTTCAGTTCTAGTTCAGTTCTAGTTCAGTTCTAGTTCAGTTCTAGTTCAGTTCTAGTTCAGTTCTAGTTCAGTTCTAGTTTCAGTTCTAGTTCAGTTCTAGTTCAGTTCTAGTTCAGTTCTAGTTCAGTTTAGTTCAGTTCTAGTTCAGTTCTAGTTCAGTTCTAGTTCAGTTGTAGCTCCGTCATAACGAACGAAAATTGTGATCATATGTTTTAATTAAAATAAAAAAGGCATTTTCAGTTTTTCGTTGCAAGTGGAAAGTGTTTAATTTTTAAAAATTTATTCCTTTTATTAACGACACCAGTACGTATACGTGTTTTATATTACAAATATTACATATAGGCCTAATTAGTGAAGCGTTTAAAATATTTTTACACGAAAAATATTGTAATGTGATTCTATTTATTTTTTTTATTAATTCCGATTATTTCTAAAAGAGTTTTAAATGTGGCTAGAGCAATTGTTTGCAAAAATGTTTTATAATCCTAAACTTAAACAAAATATCGACGCACACCATAAAAAAGCATTTTCCTAATAAAGTCTGCATCTAGTTTTAGGATTCATAGGACTATTTGCTATACAACCAAAGGCCTCCGAGAAAGGTTGAAAATTCATTAAAATTTGCTGCAAACGTACGGCATCTGTATCATGATCAATAAAATTTAGATTATCTTTGCCACAGAAAAACTGTGCCAAATTTAGGAAAAACTCTTTCCGCCAATCATCTGCTTCATTTTCTTTTGCATAGTTTTCCAAATAAGTACGATATACGACTCGTATAGCAAAGAGATCAGCAATACGTTCATCAATGTCTTCAGTAAACTGCTGATGTTGCATACATTCTAAGGAGTTGGAGAAATTAGCATGATCCATTATATCAGAGGGAGAGGATAAAGGAAATCCCCGTTTATCGTAATTAAGGCCGGTGGTATCAAATGCATGAGTTAGTTCGTGAGCCAAAACAAAACCGAAAAGTGATAACTGTTGAATAGGTGTTTGGGTGTAGTTGAATAGGGGCGACTGGAAACTGCCAAATGGTACGACCACCATATTCTGTTGCAGCACATAAAACGGCGAGGAAACCGCACCCATATGGTTGTCAGTCACTATGAAATGACTTTCAGTTTGAGCGTAATACAAAGACTTCCGAAAGCGATGTTTCAACAGCAACAAATGATTTTTATAGTAATTGCGTTTATCTAAATCAGTTAAACCCCGATAAAACTGTTTCACAATTTTGGAATTAAAATCATATGGTAAATTTCCACTATTTATAGGCATATATCTTAGTTTTGTTTTTAGATAATTAATTTGCCTGCTAGTTAGATTTAAATAATTTTCCTCAAAATATTTTGCCATGGTATCTTTGATTTTGAACCTCAAGTTGTTTAAACTGTTTTCAAAATGGTCTGCTTCTCTTTTAAAAACATGTTCATAGAAATAATAATTTACTGCCAGATCAAATTTACGTCTTAAATCCTTTATACAAGCGAGCGGTGTAAATTCAGTTGTACTATCTTCTGCTAAATAGAATAGAAATTTCATCATTAAGTAGTTACAAACATGTTCCAGCTCCTCGTTGGTCCATTGTTTTCCATTTAAATACTCAAAATATTCGGGATTTTCTACAGTGATATTTGAAACTTTATTAAACTGTGAACCCAGTAGATTTTTAAAATATAATTTTAACCCCCGACTGGTATAGTGCTTATCTATAAGCTTCAAATTTGTCTCTATACTGTGATTGTTAACAGCATAGTTTTGCGTTAGGTTTTGCCATTTAAAATCGGTATTATGCAATTGTTGTATTATTGGCTCTGTGTCCTCTATACGCAAAGCCTTTAACAATACTTGTAAAATCGTGTTATCGGGTAGGGAACCACCTTCATCAAGTGGAGCTGGAGCCAGTCTGATATTAAGAGAGTCATCTTTATTCCTAATGATTTGATGATTTACTAGGACATCATTTAAACCATGCGATTGTATTTCTCCCAATAAAGACCAAAAAATTAAGTTTTTATCCAAATAAAGTTCTTCTTCCGAAGAGGAATTATAACTTTCACTCTCCGAAGAATAAAATTTGTTCTCTGAAGAATCCGATTCTTTTTCTGTTGAACCATTACCCTTTATATCTGCTGGCAACCATTGACTATTATGACCCAACAATGGCCAATTTAAATTGTTACTCGGTTTTATTTCATTAAAATATTTTCTTAAATTTCTTTGCCTTTCTATATTACATGAGTCCAAATACATAAACATTTTTTTATTTACTTTTCTTGTTTTACGATTATAATACCGATTTCGAAATTCCTTGTCAAATAGTCGCAGCAACTTTATATTAATTTGGTAATCTAATTGTTGGGTTATCTCACTATAGTTAGGATCAGGATTCTGCTGGCTATAATTACTGCAGGCGTATTCATAGAAATTCTCACAGGGTTCTTTGTGGGCTATAGCAGATTTTGCTTGTACCATCAAATTTAAGTGCATTATTAATAGTGCTATAACAATAGTTTTTAACGTTTTCATATTTTTTTGTGTGTTTATTGATACGATTTTAAAATACTACTATTTATTCCGTAAAATCAAAAAAGCAAATACTATGTCTCTCTAACAACAGAGGTCAGCGATAAGAACAATTATACAGATATGTATATGTATTTAATACACACTAACGTAATAATTGCAAATGAGCAATTAATTAGCAATACACAGTGGTTAGGAGACTTTTAATCTCCTTCTCTACTACTAAAAAAACTGCAAGCAAAAACTAAAAAATTAACTAAATATACCAAATAATGTTTACTCCTTGGAGGCAATTACTTAACATGCTCAATTACAAATAGTGAGTTAAATAAGTCTTTGCGCTGTTACAATCATGGAACTGAGTAAATTGTTCTAGTAGCCGAAATGGATGCGATAACTAAAACAAAACTAAAATAAAACAAAACTAGAACAGAACTAGAACAGAACTAGAACAGAACTATAACAGAACTAGAACAGAACTAGAACAGAACTTGAACAGAACTAGAACAGAACTAGAACAGAACTAGAACAGAACTAGAACAGAACTAGAACAGAACTAGAACAGAACTAGAACAGAACTAGAACAGAACTAGAACAGAACTAGAACAGAACCTAAAACAGAACTAGAACAGACCTAGAACAGAACTAGAACAGAAACTAGAACAGGAACTAGAACAGAACTAGAACAGAACTAGAACAGAACTAGAACAGAACTAGAACAGAACTAGAACAGAACAGAACAGAACTAAGAACAGAACTAGAACAGAACTAGAACAGAACTAGAACAGAACTAGACGAACTAGAACAGAACTAGAACAGAACTAGAACAGAACTAGAACAGAACTAGAACAGAACTAGAACAGAACTAGAACAGAACTAGAACAGAACTAGAACAGAACTAGAACAGAACTAGAACAGAACTAGAACAGAACTAGAACAGAACTAGAACAGAACTAGAACAGAACTAGAACAGAACTAGAACAGAACTAGAACAGAACTAGAACAGAACTAGAACAGAACTAGAACAGAACTAGAACAGAACTAGAACAGAACTAGAACAGAACTAGAACAGAACTAAACAGAACTAAAACAGAACTAGAACAGAACTAGAACAGAACTAGAACAGAACTAGAACAGAACTAGAACAGACTAGAACAGAACTAGAAAACTAGAACAGAACTAGAACAGAACTAGAACAGAACTAGAACAGAACTAGAACAGAACTAGACAACTAGAAACAGAACTAGAACAGAACTAGAACAGAACTAGAACAGAACTAGAACAGAACTAGAACAGAACTAGAACAGAACTAGAACAGAACTAGAACAGAACTAGAACAGAACTAGAACACTAACAGAAACTAGAACAGAACAGAACAGAACAGAACTAGAACAGAACTAGAACAGAACTAGAACAGAACTAGAACAGAACTAGAACAGAACTAGAACAGAACTAGAAACAGAACCAGAACAGAACTAGACAGAACTAGAACAGAACCAGAACAGAACTAGAACAGAACTAGAACAGAACTAGAACAGAACTAGAACAGAACTAGAACTAGAACTAGAACTAGAACTAGAACTAGAACAGAACAGAACAGAACTAGAACTAGAACTAGAACTAGAACAGAACTAGAACTAGAACAGAACTAGAACAGAACTAGAACAGAACTAGAACAGAACTAGAACAGACTAGAACAGAACTAGAACAGAACTAGAACAGAACTAGAACAGAACTAGAACAGAACTAGAACAGAACTAGAACAGAACTAGAACAGAACTAGAACAGAACTAGAACAGAACTAGAACAGAACTAGAACAGAACTAGAACAGAACTAGAACAGAACTAGAACAGAACTAGAACAGAACTAGAACAGAACTAGAACAGAACTAGAACAGAACTAGAACAGAACTAGAACAGAACTAGAACAGATCTAGAACAGAACTAGAACAGAACTAGAACAGAACTAGAACAGAACTAGAACAGAACTAGAACAGAACTAGAACAGAACTAGAACAGAACTAGAACAGAACTTGAACAGAACTTGAACAGAACTAGAACAGAACAAGAACAGAACAAGAACAGAACTAGAACAGAACTAGAACAGAACTCATATAAAAACTTTTTCCGTAATTAAGTTTCTGTTAAAGTAAAATTCAAAAAAATAGTTTATTATAAAGAAACAAATCTTGGGCATGCTTGGCCATACCGGACTATAAATCTTACTACTAGAGATGAGAAAGTTGTTTTATTAACTTAAACTAATTTTTTGACAGGACAATAAGAATAGAGATTCCTAATAAAGTCTACATTTAGTTTTAGGATTCATAGGACTACCTTCCACACAACCAAAAGCCTCCGAGAAAGGTTGAAAATTCATTAAAATTTGCTGCAAACGTATGGCATCCGTATCATGATCAATAAAATTTAGATTATCTTTGCCACAGAAAAACTGTGCCAAATTCCGAAAGAATTCTTTCGGCCAATCTGCTTGATAATCTTTAGCATAATATTCCAAATAAGTACGATAGACCACTCTGATGGCAAAAAGATCAGCAATACGTTCATCAATTTCTTCAGTAGGCTGTTGATGTTGCATACATTCTAAGGAGTTGGAGAAATTAGCATGATCCATTATATGGGAGGGAAGGGTTAAAGGAAGGCCCTGTTTATCATAATTTAGGCCGGTAGTATCAAATGCATGTGTTAGTTCATGAGCCAATATAAAACCGAATAGCGACAACTGTTGTAGAGGTGTTTGGCTGTAGTTGAATAGGGGCAACTGGAAACTGCCAAATGGTACGACTACCATATTCTGCTGAGGCACATAAAACGGCGAGGAAACACCACCCATACTATTGTCTGATACTATGTAATGCGTTTGATTTTGAGCATAATACAAAGATTTACGAAAACGATGTTTCAATAGCAACAAATGATTTTTATAGTAATTACTTCTATCCAAATGCGGTAGATCCTGGTAGAAAGTTTGTATAGATTTTATGTTAAATATTTTGGGTAAATTACCATTATTTATATTAATTTTATACAATTTACTTTTTAAGTAAATAATTTGTTTCCTGGTCAGATTTAAATGATTTTCCGTAAAATATTTTGCCATAATATCTTTAATTTCTGTCTCTAAGGTGTTAAGGGCCTCATTAAAATGATCAGCTTCTCTTTTAAAGAAAAGACGATAAGTAAAATAGTTAACAGCCAAATCAAATTTATGCCTTAAATCGTTTATGCACTCCCGGGAGTTAAAGTCCTTTGTACTATCTTCGGCCAAATAAAATAGGAATTTTATCATTAAATAATTACACAAATGTTCCAGTTGTTGGTTAGTCCATTGCTTGTGATTTAGATACTCAAAATATTCCGGATTTTCTATAGTGATATCTGACAGTTTATTTAACTCTGAACCCAAAAGATTTTCAAGATAAAGTTTTAGATTAAGTTGGGGATAAAGTTCAGCTAAATCTGTTAAAGTTGTGACTTGGCTTTTGGTGTTGTGACCAGCATAACTTTCTAAAATATTTTGCCATTTTAAATCGGTAGCTTTTAATTGCTGTATAATTGTTTCTGTATCCTTTATACCCAAAGTCATTAACAATACCTTAAGAATAGCATTATCAGGCAGACTGCCACCATTTTCTAGTATTGTAGGTGCCAGCCATATATTAAGTGAATTGTCTTCATTTCTTATAATTTGATGATTAACTAAGACATTATTTAAACCATATGACTGCATTTCTCCCAATAGAGACCAGAAATCAAATTTTCTAAGCGATGTTTTATAATATCTAAAAATATTCCAGAAACTATACTTCTTATCTGTCTCCAACCATTGTTCTTTAGGAACCAATAAAGGCCAATTTAAATGTTTGCTTGGTGTTATTTCCTTCAGATATTTTCTCAAATTTCTTTGCGTCTCTTTTTCACACGATTCCAAATACATTTGCATTTGATCATAAAAGGTCTGTATTCTAGAATCATAATCTTGTATTTGTATTTCTTTGTCTAATAGTTGCAGCAACTTTTCGTTAATTTGGTAATTCAATTGTTGTGTTATTTCACTGTAGTTGGGGTTCGGGTTCTGTTGGCTATAATTACTGCAGTTATATTCGTAAAAATTTTCACAGGGTCCTTCGGAAACTTCTTTTGTATTTACTTGTTTAAGGCCTATTATCATTAAATTTATAAGAATTATTAATAATTTTATTAAAAATTTATTAAGCGCTTTCATGTTGTTTTGTGTGCTTTATGTTATAATTTGAAAATACTACTATTAATTCCTTGAAATTAAAAAAGCAAAAAATATTTCTCTCTTATCAGCAAGGGTCAGCGATAAGTATAAACATGCAGATATTTAATTTTATAAACACAAAAATAATAATGGCAAATGTGTACCAATTGATTATCAATACAAATAAGCAATGCACAGTGGCTAATAAAGTATTTTATAGGAGATAATTCCTACTCTTGTGAACTAAAAATAAATTGTACATCGTAAAGATGAACTGCGAAATTAATATACAAACATTAGTAGAACAAGTCAGAGTTCCATATTCGGCTATGTATATAATATATCAAAAAAAAAATTATTTTAATTTTTAAAAACTGATTTCAAAAACAGGTGGACAGGCAGACGGTTTAAGCTTAATCGATTCCGTTGTCTATAAGGATGCAGAATGTATATATTTTAAGGGGTCGGAAAAATATATTGTAGAAAGTACATACATATGTCTATAGTCTAGTCTATAGTCTAGTTTATAGCCTAGTCTATAGTCTAATCTATAGTCTAGTTTATAGTCTAGTCTATAGTCTAATCTATAGTCTAGTCTATAGTCTAGTTTATAGTCTAGTCTATAGTCTAGTCTAGTTTATAGTCTAGTCTATAGTCTAGTCTAGTTTATAGTCTAGTCTAGTCTAGTCTATAGTCTAGTCTATAGTCTAGTCTATAGTCTAGTCTATAGTCTAGTCTATAGTCTAGTCTATAGTCTAGTCTATAGTCTATTCTATAGTCTAGTCTATAGTCTAGTCTATAGTCTAGTCTATAGTCTAGTCTATAGTCTAGTCTATAGTCTAGTCTATAGTCTAGTCTATAGTCTAGTCTATAATCTAGTCTAGTCATAGTCTAGTCATAGTCTAGTCATAGTCTAGTCATAGTCTAGTCATAGTCTAGTCATAGTCTAGTCATAGTCTAGTCATAGTCTAGTCATAGTCTAGTCATAGTCTAGTCATAGTCTAGTCATAGTCTAGTCATAGTCTAGTCATAGTCTAGTCATAGTCTAGTCATAGTCTAGTCATAGTCTAGTCATAGTCTAGTCATAGTCTAGTCATAGTCTAGTCATAGTCTAGTCATAGTCTAGTCATAGTCTAGTCATAGTCTAGTCATAGTCTAGTCATAGTCTAGTCATAGTCTAGTCATAGTCTAGTCATAGTCTAGTCATTCTAGTCATAGTCTAGTCTAGTCTAGTCATAGTCTAGTCATAGTCTATCATAGTCCTAGTCATAGTCTAGTCAGAGTCTAGTCATAGTCTAGTCCATAGTCTAGTCATAGTCTAGTCATAGTCTAGTCATAGTCATAGTCTAGTCATAGTCTAGTCATAGTCTAGTCATAGTCGATCATAGTCCTAGTCATAGTCTAGTCATAGTCTAGTCATAGTCTAGTCATAGTCTAGTCATATTCTAGTCATAGTCTAGTCATAGTCTAGTCATAGTCTAGTCATAGTCTAGTCATAGTCTAGTCATAGTCTAGTCATAGTCTAGTCATAGTCTAGTCATAGTCTAGTCATAGTCTAGTCATAGTCTAGTCATAGTCTAGTCTAGTCCTAGTCATAGTCTAGGTCATGTCTAGCATAGTCTAGTCATAGTCTAGTCATAGTCTAGTCATAGTCTAGTCATAGTCTAGTCATAGTCTAGTCATAGTCTAGTCATAGTCTAGTCATAGTCTAGTCATAGTCTAGTCATAGTCCTAGTCCATAGTCCTAGTCATAGTCTAGTCATAGTCTATTCATAGTCCTAGTCATAGTCTAGTCATAGTCTAGTCATAGTCTAGTCATAGTCTAGTCATAGTCTAGTCATAGTCTAGTCATAGTCTAGTCATAGTCTAGTCATAGTCTAGTCATAGTCATAGTCTAGTCATAGTATATACGGTAGCAATATAATCTAGTTAATATTCTTATCTATGGTCTAATCATACTCTATTCCATAGTCTTGTATATAGTTTAGTTAATAGTCGAGTCTTCGCTGGTGTCTATAAACCGACTAAATTAAATTTATACAAATATTTCAGATAAAGACATTTTATTTTAAGTTAACTTATTACATATTCTTAGATAGAAATGTCCATTTTATTTTATAAATAAATTATCAATTCCACTACGAATTTAGCTGCCGAAATCTATGGTCTGAAGTACTCAGTTAATCCATCTTAAACCATAAGTAATTTCGGAAATATATATTTTAAAAGAGTGGAGTTTACAACATTTGCTTCTATGGCTTTCCCATATGAAACATTTACTTTGGTAAATTTTTCTAATAAAGACGACATTTCGGTTTCGTATACATGAGACTTGTCTCTGAACAATTATATGCTTTTGCAAATGGTCGAATATTCTTTACAATTTCCTGCAAACGCTGGGCATCAGAATCATGATCTATAAACTGTATATTATCTTTGCCACAGAAAAACTGAGCCATATTCATAAAGAAGCGTTTTCTCCAATGTGGGTTTTTATCATGCGAATAATTTTCGTAATAGATACGATAAACCACACGTGCAGCAAATAGATCGGCAATACGTTCATCTATGGATTCGGTGAAATTTTGTGCTTGCATGCATTTAAGAGCTTTTGTAAAATTTTTATGATACATTATGTCTGAAGGTGGATCTAAAGGCAAACCATATTGATCAAAATTTAGACCAGTGGTATCGAAAGCATGGGTTAGTTCATGAGCCAGAACAAAACCCAATAGAGACAATTGTTCTAGGGGAGTTTGATTGTAATGGTATAAAGGAAGTTGTAAACTGCCAAATGGTATAACCACCATATTCTGTTGGGGCACATAAAACGGTGAGGACACAGCACCCATATGATTGTCGCTGACTATAAAGTGTGTTTGATTTTGTTTATATAGCAACGAATTCCTGAAACGATGTTTTAACAGCAACAAATGATTTTTAAAATAGTTTTCTTTAGATAAAGGCGATATATCCTTATAAAAGTTTTCTACCGCATAAAAACTTTTATCAGCTGGTAAATTACCTATAATTATTTTAATTTCATTTAATTTGGTCTCCAAAAAAATGATTTGTTCACAGTTGAGTTTTAAGAAATTCTTTTCAAAATACTTTAACATGGTAGCTTTAATTTGTCGATTTAGCTTAGCAAGAGCTTTTATAAATTTTGTTTCTTCTTTCTGAAAGAAGTTATGATAATAAGAGAAATTTACTGCTAAATCAAATTTTCTTCTTAAATCCTTTATACAGGCAATGGGTGTAAATGCTGTGGTGCTATCCTTGGCCAAATAGTAGAGAAATTTTAACATTAAATAATTGCACAAATCTTTCAGCTCTTTAGGTGACCAGTATTTACGATTAAAATATATTATATATTCTGGATTTTCTATGGTAATAACTGAAATATTGTTGATCTCGCTACCCAACAAATTTTCCAGATATAATTTTACATTAAACAGTGGATGTAATATATCTATATCTGTCCAACTTATATTTCTTATATGATTTGCACTAGAATCATATCTAGCGCTCATATTTTTTAATTTTAAATCCACATTATATAATTGCTGTATTATCAGCTCGGTGTGCTCTATGCCTAAAGTTTTCAACAACACCTCCAATACTTTGTTATCGGGTAAGGTGCCCTCTTCATCATCTGCTATAGCAGGTGCCAGCCAGATATGTAACATACCTTCCCTATTTCTTTCAATTTCTTGCTTTAATAGAACATTATTTAAACCATATGACTGCATATTGCCCAACAATGACCAAAAATCAAAAGTTTCATTTGCTTCCAACCAGCGTTTCGTATCCGCTAATAAAGGCCAACTTAATTGGCCACCCGGTCTGATGTCCTCAAAATATTTCTTTAAATCTCTTTGCGTTTCACTCTTACACGATTCCCAGTACAATAGCATTTTATCACAAAATGTTTGTTTACCAGGTATATAGGTCTGCTTGCTTATATATTCCAGCAGCTTTTTATTCATTTCATAATCTAATTTTTGTGTTATTTCCTTGTAATTTTCATCTGGATTTTCACGACTATAGTTGCTGCAGGCATATTCATAGAAATCTTCACAAGGTCCCTTAAGACTTCGTGTAAGCCAGCAGAATTGTTGCAATATTATTAATATTATAAGCTTAATGTAAAGCGATTTCATATTTGTCGTTTTTTGCACCTTGAAATATTGAAATTAAAAATACAACTATTTAACTAAATCAAACTGATATTGGTGTACCTATGTTGGCTGGCGCTTAGAGATAAGAATACTTTTTTGAGAGCATAAAAATAGAAACGAGATAGAGCAAGAAATATCGAATATCAAATACCCTATAGGAAAATAGGCATGAGAAATTCAGTACTTTAGTACTTTTTTTCAGTACTAAAATTTTAGGTACTTTTTATAACTTACGATCTTTTGACAAGAAGTATACAGTCATGTCTATAGTCTAGTCCATAGTCTAGTCTATAGTCAAGTCTATGGTCGAGTCTATAGTCTAGTCTATAGTCTAGTCTATAGTCTAGTCTATAGTCTAGTCTATAGTCTAGTCTATAGTCTAGTCTATAGTCTAGTCTATAGTCTAGTTTATAGTTTAGTCTATAGTCTAGTTTATAGTCTAGTCTATAGTCTAGTCTAGTCTAGTTATAGTCTAGTCTATAGTCTAGTCTATAGTCTAGTCTATAGTCTAGTCTATAGTCTAGTCTATAGTCTAGTCTATAGTCTAGTCTATAGTCTAGTCTATAGTCTAGTCTATAGTCTAGTCTATAGTCTAGTCTATAGTCTAGTCTATAGTCTAGTCTATAGTCTAGTCTATAGTCTAGTCTATAGTCTAGTCTATAGTCTAGTCTATAGTCTAGTCTATAGTCTAGTCTATAGTCTAGTCTAGTCTAGTCTATAGTCTAGTCTAGTCTAGTCTATAGTCTAGTCTATAGTCTAGTCTATAGTCTAGTCTATAGTCTAGTCTATAGTCTAGTCTATAGTGTAGTCTATAGTCTAGTCTATAGTCTAGTCTATAGTGTAGTCTATAGTCTAGTCTATAGTCTAGTCTATAGTGTAGTCTATAGTCTAGTCTATAGTCTAGTCTATAGTCTAGTCTATAGTCTAGTCTATAGTCTAGTCTATAGTCTAGTCTACAGTCTAGTCTATAGTCTAGTCTATAATCTAGTCTGTAGTCTAGTCTATATTCTAGTCTATAGTCTAGTCTATAGTCTAGTCTATAGTCTAGTCTATAGTCTAGTATATTGTCTAGTCTATAGTCTAGTCTATAGTCTAGTCTATAATCTAGTCTATAATCTAGTCTATAATCTAGTCTGTAGTCTAGTCTATATTCTAGTCTATAGTCTAGTCTATACTCTAGTTTATAGTCTAGTCTATAATCTAGTCTATAGTCTAGTCTATATTCTAGTCTATAGTCTAGTCTATAGTCTAGTCTATAGTCTAGTCTATAGTCTAGTCTACAGTCTAGTCTATAGTTTAGTCTATAGTCTAGTCTATAGTCTAGTCTATAGTCTAGTCTAGTCTATAGTCAAGTCTATAGTCTAGTCTATAGTCTAGTCTATAGTCTAGTCTATAGTCTAGTCTATAGTCTAGTCTATAGTCTAGTCTATAGTCTATAGTCTAGTCTATAGTATAGTCTATAGTCTAGTCTATAGTATAGTCTATAGTCTAGTCTATAGTCTAGTCTATAGTCTAGTCTATAGTCTAGTCTAGTCTATAGTCTAGTCTATAGACTAGTCTATAGTCTAGTCTATAGTCTAGTCTATAGTCTAGTATATTGTCTAGTCTATAGTCTAGTCTATAGTCTAGTCTAGTCTAGTCTATAGTCTAGTCTATAGTCTAGTCTATAGTCTAGTCTATAGTCTAGTCTATAGTCTAGTCTATAGTATAGTCTATAGTCTAGTCTATAATCTAGTCTATAATGTAGTCTGTAGTCTAGTCTATATTCTAGTCTATAGTCTAGTCTAGTCTATAGTCTAGTCTATACTCTAGTTTATAGTCTAGTCTATAGTCTAGTCTATATTCTAGTCTATAGTCTAGTCTATAGTCTAGTTTATAGTCTAGTCTATAGTCTAGTCTATAGTCTAGTCTATAGTCTAGTCTATAGTCTAGTTTATATTCTAGTCTATAGTCTAGTCTATAGTCTAGTCTATAGTCTAGTCCATAGTCTAGTCTATAGTCTAGTCTATAGTCTAGTCTATAGTCTAGTCTATAGTCTAGTCTATAGTCTAGTCTATAGTCTAGTCTATAGTCTAGTCTATAGTCTAGTCTATAGTCTAGTTTATAGTCTAGTCTATAGTGTAGTCTATAGTCTAGTCTAGTCTATAGTCTAGTCTATAGTCTAGTCTATAGTCTAGTCTATAGTCTAGTCTATAGTCTAGTCTATAGTCTAATCAATATTCTATCCTCTAGTCGAAAAATTGTTGAATTTTATTATCAAATTGTCAATATTACAGACTGCTACTCGAAAAATATTAAAATTATTTAAAATACAATATTTAAAACATATTTATGTATATTTATTTCTAAAAAAAACTTAAACTACTAGTTAATATAGATGGCATTTGTTGCTCGGATTCATTTGTTCAATACACAATCGATGTTGTAGCGTTGTATGTCAGCAGCTGCTACAATAGTCATAACAATGTTGTTGGTATTTTCTATGCAAAAGCACTATACAACTCCTACGACAATTTTTCATATGTTTTTCGAATGGTGTAAGAAAGTTTAGTGTTGCCAGTTGTTTATTTCGACATATAAACAAAAAATTCAAACGATTTTAGCATAAAAAACGATAAAGTGGTAACACTGAAATCAAAAACAAACAGCTGTTTACCAAAACTAAAAAAACTAAAATTTTATTAAAAACTGTTTATTTATTACCCAGCAAAAAATAATTGATGTCATACTTTACAAACTACATCTTAATCACATCTTAAAATGCGATTACATATTTTTCACTTTTATAAACCAAATATTTCCTTACAAATGAAACCCCAGTTAAAAGTAAGAATAGAGATGTAGAAAATTCACTACAAACAACATATTCGAAGTACTTCAAATTTTGATGAACAACCAATGAAATTTACATAAGCGTTTCATTGAAAGAATGTGGTTTATTTTTGACATACAAATATCGGATTTTTACAGCTTCTAAAGATAAGATTAGATGTAGTTCAAAGTTGTCAAAAATTAACAACATCCCTCCAATGACAAGCTAATGTAAAATTCATAGGTTTTTCACCTGAATTTGAAGCACTTCGGGTTACTAGTTGTGATGAAAATTCTACATCTTTTTCCACACTTTTTTTGCTGGGTAGTTTAAAATGTGGAATAAAGAATATAAAAGCATTGAAAATTCAAAGAAATTAATTTGGTTTATTTCGCATGTTTAATTAATTTAATATTTTTTGATTTTTTTATCTTCTGACATTGTTATGTATATTTGTTTTGATTGTTTTTTTTTTTTTTTTTTTTCATTGAAAACATAAACTTATGACTTGCTGCAAAGATCTGTTCACAATCACTGTTACTACACTTTAGTAGGTACAATATACAACTTGATTGTGAATTGAACAATTGTATTATTACTATCACACCGAAATGCCCATGAGAATCCAGTGGAATTTTTAATAATCTGATGTAAGCGCTGATCATCTGTGTCATGATCAATTAAAGCGATATCGCTTTTGCTGCAAAAGAAGTGGGCCAAATGTAGATAGTAATATTTAAACATGTTACGTAAAAATGGATTGTTATGAAAAGTCCAGTTTCAGATCAGTTCTAGTTCAGTTCACTTCTAGTTCAGTTCTAGTTCCGTTCTAGTTCAGTTCTAGTACAGTTCTAGTTCAGTTCTAGTTCAGTTCTAGTTCAGTTCTAGTTCAGTTCTAGTTCAGTTCTAGTTCAGTTCTAGTTCAGTTCTAGTTCAGTTCTAGTTCAGTTCTAGTTCAGTTCTAGTTCAGTTCTAGTTCAGTTCTAGTTCAATTCAGTTCTAGTTATACTCTCTTACTGTACAGGTTATAAGCTCTTGTCTAGAAAGACTAAAGTCTCTTGACTCTTGAGGCTACAATATGATCTATATTTCGTACAATTTTTTCATTTATTTTTTTTTAACTTATTAGAATATTATAAATTAGCTTAGTAAATAACTTAATATAAGCGACACTTTTTACTAGGATTCATTTTACTATTACGATCACATTGAAAAGCTGATTCAAAGCCTTTAGAATTCATAACAATCTGATTCAAACGTTGAGCATCTGTATCGTGATCAATAAATTTGATATGTTTTTTACCACAAAAGAATTGGGCTAAATTTAAATAGAAATATTTATTCCAACTAGAATGTACATCTGCAGGAGGGTGTTTATTTAGTTTCGATTCATATAGTTCATAACTGATATCTATGGCAACAATATCCGCTATACGTTCATCTATACTCTTGGTGGAAAGTTGAGACTGCAGACATTTTAAGGCGGTGAGAAAATTTTCATTATCGAATATATGATCTGGGGACCTCACAAATTCCCCTTTACTATCAAAATTAAGACCATAAGTATCGAAGCTGTGTGACAACTCATGGGCCAATATGAAACCCAAATGAGAATATTTATAGACATCATGATAGTGTATATCGAAAAGTGGATAACGTAGACTGCTAAAGGGTAATACGATCATATTTTGTTGGGCCACATAAAACGCTGCTGGCCTACTGCCTAAACTACTAATTGAACCCAAGTAATGTGTTTGATTTGGTTTATAATGTAAAGTGTTTTGAAACCGATGTTTTATTAACAGCAAGTGATTGTTATAGTAATTATTTATATCCAATGGTGGTAGATTTTCATAAAATTTTGCTACCTTATTAAATGTTACCTCTTCCGGTAAGTTGCCTATATTTAGGCGCACATTTTGTAATTTTTCTAGAAGAAATTGTTGTTGTAGCGAAGTTAAATTTAAATGATTGTCGAGAAATAGTTTTTGAAATTTATCTTTTATATTTTGAAATATTTTAAATATAACGGGTTTATAGAGTTTAACTTTGTGTCCATAGTTGTGGTGGTAAAATAGGAAATTTACCGCCAAATCCATTTTGTTTCTTAGATCCTTAATACAATCCAAACTTTTGAAAGCAGCCGTACTGTCCAAAGTCAAGTAGTAAAGAAATTTTAACATTAAATAATTGCACCAATTGGACTTTTGTAAATTCTGCCTTAAAAAGTTGTTTAAGTTTTGAAAATATTCCGAATTTCTTAATATAATAACAGTATCGGCTGGTAAATCTTGTTTAACTAATTCCTTGACATACAAATTTAAATTAAGATTTTCATATTTAGATTCTAAATCCTTATAAGTCAGTTGCTGGATATTTCCTTTGTGCTTTTCACAACTTTCCATAATATCCACCAATATCTTATTGGTTTCTAAGAGGTTTCTTAAAATCGTTTTAGGTTGTGTAACTCCCAAGCCCATTAATAAAACTGCTAACATTTTTAAGTCCGGTAAAGTAGTATTATTCTCTCTATATGCAGGTTCTAGCATTATTTCTAAAGCGCCATTTTTCTTTACTAAAATCTGTTGGTTTATCAAGACATTATTTAAACCATAAGACTGTAATTTACCCAATAGACTCCAAATGTCAAATGTTTGCTCACCGGTCCATATAAATGATTGAGTAACATTATTTCTTAACTCCTCCCATAAGGGCCAATTAAGCTCTGCTCCTGGTTTAATATATTCAAAATAATTTGTCAAATTTCTTTTAGTTTCTTGGCGACATGATTGGAAATAAGCCAAAGTTTTTGCTACAAATGTGTCTGATTTATCCAAATCATGTTGATAATCCTGGTACACTGAATCATATAGTTGTAAAATAAATTCATTATATTGTAAATCCAATAAAGTGGTTATTTCCTTATAATCCTCTGTTAAATGCTGCTCAGCATACCTGCCGCAGGCATAAGCGTAAAAGTCTTCACACGGTTTAACGGTTTCATCAATAGACGATAAAATGGAATTTTGAATCAATATATTTATATCGTTTCCAGTAGCTTGTCCTCTAACTTGAGCCCTTAGTGCTGCCAGTATTAGTGACCATAATATCACTACAATCATTTTTCTCGCCGCAGCTGTTGTTGGTTTAAATACTTTTTTAAAACTGTTTAATTGTATAACAAAAATTCTTATTTTAGCTTTTAAAGAGATAATAAAATTTCGATTTATAACAAAAAACAAAAAAAAAAACATAATAACAGATTGTATAAAATTTTTAATACTTTTGACCCCTCGAAAAAAATATTCAGCATCTTTATCATAACAAAATTATAGAAAAAATTTGTTTACAAAAATAAAATTTTAGTTTAAAAGAAAAAATTTTTAAATTTTATAGAAATCTTAGTCTTCTCATGGTAGACTACTTGACCATAGAGACTATATAGTCTATTGTCTACTAATGCTTGTCTCTCGAGTAGCTTCTTGATTATAGAAACTATTGATACTCTTGACAATAGCTTCCCCACTGAAGAGCTTATAGTCTCTTGACCCTTGAATAAAGAGTCTTGAACATAGATGCTATAGACGCTTGACTATATATAGTCTCCGACTTTTAATACCACTACATCGTAACTGTAGACACTACAATCTCCTGACTATAGTAAGCATATTATGTTGTAAATAGAGAATATAGACTAGACTATAGATTAAAATATAGAATAGATCGTAGATTATACTATAGACTAGGCTATAGACTAGACTATGGACTAGACTATAGATTAAAATATAGAATAGATCGTAGATTATACTAGACTAGACTATAGACTAGACTATAGACTAGACTATAGACTAGACTATAGACTAGACTATAGACTAGACTATAGACTAGACTATAGACTAGACTATAGACTAGACTATAGACTAGACTATAGACTAGACTATAGACTAGACTATAGACTAGACTATAGACTAGACTATAGACTAGACTATAGACTAGACTATAGACTAGACTATAGACTAGACTATAGACTAGACTATAGACTAGACTATAGACTAGACTATAGACTAGACTATAGACTAGACTATAGACTAGACTATAGACTAGACTATAGACTAGACTATAGACTAGACTATAGACTAGACTATAGACTAGACTATAGACTAGACTATAGACTAGACTATAGACTAGACTATAGACTAGACTATAGACTAGAGCTATATACTAGAGTATAGACTAGACATAGATAGACTAGTCAGTAGTAGCTAGTAGTAGTAGTTAGCTAGACTAGTTAGTTAGTTAGTTAGTTAGTTAGTTAGTTAGTTAGTTAGTTAGTTAGTTAGTTAGTTAGTTAGTTAGTTAGTTAGTTAGTTAGTTAGTTAGTTAGTTAGTTAGTTAGTTAGTTAGTTAGTTAGTTAGTTAGTTAGTTAGTAGTTAGTTGTTAGTTAGTTAGTTAGTTCGTTAGTTTTTAGTTTTAGTTAGTTAGTTAGTTTAGTTAGTTAGTTCGTTAGTTAGTAGTCGTTAGTTAGTTAGTTCGTTAGTTAGTTAGTTAGTTCGTTGTTTTCGTTCGTTAGTTAGTTCGTTTTAGTCGTTCGTTGTTCTTGTTCGTTCGTTCGTTCGTTCGTTTTCGTTCGTTCGTTCGTTCGTTCGTTCGTTCGTTCGTTCGTTTCGTTCGTTCGTTCGTTCGTTCGTTCGTTCGTTCGTTCGTTCGTTTCGTTCGTTCGTTCGTTCGTTTCGTTGTTTTCGTTCGTTCGTTAGTTCGTTCGTTTCGTTCGTTCGTTCGTTCGTTCGTTCTTCGTTCGTTCGTTCGTTCGTTCGTTCGTTCGTTCGTTTCGTTCGTTCGTTTTTTTTTTTTTCGTTCGTTCGTTCGTTTCGTTCGTTCGTTCGTTCGTTCGTTCTTCGTTCGTTCTTCGTTCGTTCGTTCGTTCGTTCGTTCGTTCGTTCGTTCGTTTCGTTCGTTCGTTCGTTCGTTCGTTCGTTCGTTCGTTCGTTCGTTCGTTCGTTCGTTCGTTCGTTTCGTTCGTTCGTTCGTTCGTTCGTTTTCGTTCGTTCGTTTCGTTCGTTCGTTCGTTCGTTCGTTTCGTTCGTTTTGTTCGTTCGTTCGTTCGTTCTTCGTTCGTTCGTTCGTTCGTTTCGTTCGTTCGTTCGTTCGTTTCGTTCGTTCTTCGTTCGTTCGTTCGTTCGTTCGTTCGTTCGTTCGTTCGTTCGTTCGTTCGTTCGTTCGTTCGTTCGTTCGTTTCGTTCGTTCGTTCGTTCGTTCGTTCGTTCGTTCGTTCGTTCGTTCGTTCGTTCGTTCGTTCGTTCGTTCGTTCGTTCGTTCGTTTTGTTCGTTCGTTCGTTCGTTCGTTCGTTCGTTCGTTCGTTCGTTTCGTTCGTTCGTTCGTTCGTTCGTTCGTTCGTTCGTTCGTTCGTTCGTTCGTTTTCGTTCGTTTTTCGTTCGTTCGTTTTCGTTCGTTTCGTTCGTTCGTTCGTTCTTCGTTCTTTCGTTCGTTCGTTCGTTCGTTTCGTTCGTTCGTTCGTTCGTTCGTTCGTTCGTTCGTTCGTTCGTTCGTTCGTTCGTTCGTTCGTTCGTTCGTTTCGTTCGTTCGTTCGTTCGTTCGTTTTCGTTCTTCGTTCGTTCGTTGTTCGTTCGTTCGTTTCGTTCGTTCGTTCGTTCGTTCGTTAGTTCTTCGTTCGTCGTTCGTTCGTTCGTTTCGTTCGTTCGTTCTTCGTCGTTCGTTTTCGTTTCGTTCGTTTCGTTCGTTCGTTCGTTCGTTCGTTCGTTCGTTCGTTCGTTCGTTCGTTCGTTTTCGTTCGTTTCGTTCGTTCGTTCGTTCGTTCGTTCGTTCGTTCGTTCGTTGTTCGTTTTCGTTCGTTCGTTCGTTCGTTCGTTCGTTTCGTTCTTCGTTCTTGGTTCGTTTGTTTCGTTGTTCGTTCGTTCAGTTCGTTTTCGTCTTCGTCGTTCGTCTTTGTTCGTTTTTGCTTTATTTCTCCCCTTCCTCCCCTTCTTTTTTTTTTTTTGCCTTTCTTCCCTTTTTCCCCTTCTTTCTCCTCTCCCTTAGACTCCAGTCCTTCTACAAACGACACTTTTTCCTCGGATTCATTTTACTTTTTCGATGACATTGAAAGCATATGCGATCCCTCAGAATTCATGACAAATCTGATTCAAACGCTGAGCATCACTATCATGATCAATAAACTGAATATTACTTTTGCCGCAAAAGAACTGAGCTAAGTTTAAATAGTAATATTGAAACTGGTTAAGAGGAATCTCAAATGGATGCTTTTCACTGAAGATTTTAAAGACAACATCTATACCAACAATATCCGCCATACGTTCATCTATACTATTGGTGGGTAGTTGTGACTGCAAACAATCCAGGGATTTTTGAAAATTTTCATTTTCCAATATATCGGAAATTTCTTCGTTTATTAACTCACCCATGCCATCGAAATTTAGACCGGTAGTATCGAAGGCATGTGTAAACTCATGCGCTAATATGAAACCTAAAATAGAATACTTGTAGTCATCGTTATATTTAGCATCGAATAATGGATACGCTAGACTGCCAAATGGTAAGACAATCATATTTTGTTTGATCACATAAAATGCGCCCGATGTACTACCCATGCGATTATCGTTGACAATGAAATGACTCTGTATAGGCGCATAATGTAGAGACTTTAGAAAGCGATGTTTTAACAAGAGTAAGTGATTCTTGTAGTAATTATTCTTATACAATGCTGGTAGATTTTCATAAAATTTTTCAACTTTATGAAAAGTAACATCAGCGGGTAGGTTTCCTATATTTAAGCGCATATTTTGTAATTTATATTGAAGAAATTGAACTTGTGTCACTGTTAGATTTAGGCGATTGCTCTTGAATAATCTGTTAAATCGTTCTTTTATACTTTCAAAGATGTCATTGACAGCTGCATTATAGAGTTTAGCTTTGAAGGCATAGCTTTCTGTATAATACAGGTAATTTACAGCTAAATCCATTTTATTTCTCAAATCTTTTACACAATCTAAAGTTTTAAACTCAGCCGTACTGTCTATGGCCAAATAAAAAAGAAATTTCATCATTAAATAGTTGCACCATTCGGGCTTTTGTAATTCCTGCCACATATTATTGTTTAGGTATTGAAAATATTTGGGATTCTTTAGTAAAATGGGAGTATCTGCTGTTAATGTTATATTTAATAGTTCCTGAAGATATACATCTAAATTAAGTTTTGGATATAGTAACTTTAAGTCTTTATATGTAATTTCCTGCATTTCTTCAGTTTCTTCAACAAAATGTGCCAAAATATCAAGCAACAGTTCATCAGATTTTTTTAAATTATGTAAAATTTGTTTAGGTTTACGAACTTGTAAGCCCATTAGTAAAACTTCTAAAATATTTATGTCCGGTAAGGTGCTATTATTCTCGATGTAAGCTGGTTCTAATGTTATACTTAATTCTTCATTTTTGTCCACCGAAATCTCATGATTTATCAAGACATTATTTAAACCATAGGACTGTAATTGTCCTAATAACATCCAAACATCATATGTTACCACCGACCATGGCTTAGTAAATTTATGCAATATAGGCCAATTTACTTGTGCAGCTGGTTTGATGTCCTCAAAATATCTTCTTAGATTTCTTTTGGTTTCGCTACGACAGGCCTTCAAATACACTCTTGCCTTTTCAATAAACGACTGACAATGATCCGGTACTTGATAATCATGTTGATGGCAAGATTCTATTATATTTAAAATAATTTGATTATATTGAAAGTCCATTAAGCTGGTCATCTCCTGATAGTACTTTGTGCGATGCTGCTCAGCATAATTACCACAGGCATAAGCATAGAAGTCATTGCAGGGATTAGCAGTATAGTTTATAGATGTTAATATCGAATTTTCCACCAAAGTATTAACATCATTTCGATCAGCCTGTGTTTTGGGCTGGAGTGATAGTAGTATCGTCCATAGATATTTTATAAACATTATGAATTTTATTTTGTTTTTATAAATATTTTCCTATTGTTTTTGTTTTTTTGCACGTACTCACTGTAGTTGTTGTAGGTTTAAACCAGTGTTGCCCATACACACACTGTTACACATTCATTTGTACTGGTAAAGCAGCAGAGAACAAAATGTAACCCAAAATAAAACTGTACTAATAAAATGACTGCATGCTAAAAAGTATATTCTAACTGTCAAATTGATATTATGGATTTTGACAGACAGCGTACATTAAAGTTCATATATAAAAAACTATCAGTTGTGCTCTCTCATTCACCTACATAAATTCGGCTTTCTCAAAATTTTGTTGTTGTATTTCTGTGTGGATTTTAAAAAAGTTGCGTACAGATCTTACTTCGACAAATGCTGATCAGCAACTGAGTTGATTTTGTTTTGCAAGTTGAGAGATAATCAACTACCACATGCTCAAATAAGAAAATACACAAGTAAGCTTATAGTGTAGGTGAGTCAACGCAACGTCAGCAGAATATTCTTGCCCTATCTCGCGTGATAGGGAATAGTGATTTTGGGCACCATTGGTTTAAACACATTATCAAGACTGTTTAATAGAATATTAAAAGCTTGACTTTCAAAAGAGATACCATAAGTTGAGTATAAACAATATACAACCCAATTTTAAAATTTCATTAGCTTTTGATTAATCACCAACTGTTCATGGTATCCAAAATGGTACAAATTTGTATACACTACAGCACTATAGCGTTGAGGGTATTATGCATTCAACTGATGGAAAATAGCTCAGTCCTGAGTATAGTTAAGGCTATAGTCCAGACTATAGTCCAAGCTATAGTCCCGACTATAGTCAAGACTATAGTCCAATACTATATTCCAGACTATAGTACTGACTATATTCCAGACTATAGTCCAGACTATATTCAAAACTATAGTCCATACTATAGTTTAGACTATCTATATTCCATACTTTAGTTCAGACCGTAGTCCAGACTATAGTTCAGACTGTAGTTTAGACTATAGTCCAGACTATAGTTCAGACTATAGTCCAGACGATAGTTCAGACTTCAAACTGTAGTTCAGAATTCATTCTAGACTATAATTCATTATAGTCCAGAATATAGTTCAGACTATAGTCCAGACTATAGTTCAGACTATAGTCCAGACTATAGTTCAGACTATAGTCCAGGCTATAGTTCAGACTATAGTCCAGGCTATAGTACAGACTATAGTATAGAAGTTAGTTCAGACTATAGTACAGACTATTGACCAAACTATAGTCAAAACTGTTGTCAAGTCTATGGTCCAGAGTATATAGTACAAACTACATTTCAGACAAAAGTCCAGATTATACTCCAGTCTATAGTTTGGAATATATTCCAGACTGTACTTAAGAATACAATTCAAACTGTAGTTCGGAATTCATTCTAGACTATAATTCATTATAGTCCAGAATATAGTTCAGACATAGTCAAGACTATAGAATAGGATAAAGTCCAGAACATAGTTCAAAATGAAGTCCAGATTATAGAACATACAGTAGTGGAGACTATTGTCCAGTCACTATATGTACTGTAGTCTATAGTCTAGTCCATAACATATAGTCCAGTAGTCTAATCTATAGCACTAGATTATAGTCCATAAATAGACAAGATTGTAGTAAAGACTATAGACATATTTCAGTCCATACTATATAATAGACTATGGTTTATCGAGTTGATTGTAGTGTAGTGCAAGCTATAGTGGATTTTCTTGACTATAGACTAAACTGTATATGTACTATACTATACTCCAGATTGTTGTTCAGGCCATAGACTATATATAGTCCAAACAATATAATTCGTTATAGCCTATGACTAGACGCAAGCTTGTCTATATATAGAGCAGACAATATCTATTTGAAATTTTCTTTGCCATTTAGGGTTAAAATTGTTTTATTAAATTGTTATTAGATTTACTTTAAAACGTAGATAGATTTCTTAAACGGGGAACTCTCGCATATATAGATGATACTCTATTCTATAAAAATGAGAATTAATTCCCATAAAACGATTTACCTGCACAAGTTATTTTGATTTTGTTTCCAAGAAATTGAATTCATATAAGAGACTCTCTAAGAAAATAAATTATATTAAACACTCACTTGTATTTCGATGAATCTGTTATCATTTGTTCGTTTTCTCTTGTCCAATAATTGAGAGATGTTGGATTTGCTTCTATGAAACATTCTAAGGTTACGTTGAAATACATGGGTATGCCCACCAATTGATGAGGTATTGAGACCATGGGAGAAACTAAAACAAAACATTAAAACTAGTATTGCAAATAATTAAATTATATATTTAAGTTTTTTCCTAGTGGTCGAGAGTCATAGTTTAATTATTTAAATTGCTTATTTAATTAATTGTTCAATGTACTTACAATCCACACTGACTTTAATACGCTTCGATACACTGGGCGGTACACCATTGGTGGCTATGCATAAATATGCACCCATATGTAAACGTGATATACGTTCCAATTCCAAAGTATCACCTTCTACCTCGGGTACTGAAAATTTCGCAACACAAAATTTATATTCAAATGAAAGACTTAAGTTATCTTAAGTTTTATAAAGCTCACCATCCAATGATTTATTTACAACAATTCTCAGACCATCATCTCGTTTCCAACGTATCGACGGTTCGGGACTACCTTTCGCTTTACATCTTAGGGTAACATTATCACCTTCACGTACTATAACATCACTTGAGGTTAGCGAGTCATCGATATTGGGAGGAACTGAAAATGAGCAAAAGTAAAATTTTTATATTTTCATTATAAAGACAAGTAATTGGAATTTTTATAAATTTAATATTAACATTATGACAGTTTTTTCTCCACCACATTTATTTACTTTTCCTTATAAAAATTGTTGTTGCGCTTAATATTTTATTTCCTACTTTGGGGTTTTGGGTGCCATGTGTTATTGATCTCAGCACATCGGCATGCACATATAACATGTATGTATGTATGGTATGTTAGTACCCGTTAGTACACTTTAAGCTAATAAACCATATATTTTCTCTCCCTGCTGATACTGATAAACTAGTAACTAAATTACTCCATAGTATAATCCAATATCTAGACCATAGTCTAGTTCATAGTCTAATCCATAGTCTAGTCATAGTGTAGATCATTAACTAGCCCATAAACAAGTCTAAAGTCTAGTCCACAGTTTACACCATAGTCTAGTAGTTTATTACTAGTCATAGTCTAGTCATAGTCTAGTCATAGTCTAGTCATAGTCTAGTCATAGTCTAGTCATAGTCTAGTCATAGCTAGTCATAGTCTAGTCATAGTCTAGTCATAGTCTAGTCATAGTCTAGTCATAGTCTAGTCATAGTCTAGTCATAGTCTAGTCATAGTCATAGTCTAGTCTAGTCTAGTCATAGTCTAGTCATAGTCTAGTCATAGTCTAGTCATAGTCTAGTCAGTCTAGTCATAGTCTAGTCATAGTCTAGTCATAGTCTAGTCATAGTAGTCTAGTCGTCATAGTCTAGTCATAGTCGTCATAGTCTAGTCATAGTCTAGTCATAGTCTAGTCATAGTCTAGTCATAGTCTAGTCATAGTCTAGTCATAGTCTAGTCATAGTCTAGTCATAGTCTAGTCATAGTCTAGTCATAGTCTAGTCATAGTCTAGTCTAGTCCAGTCTAGTCTAGTCTAGTCATAGTCTAGTCATAGTCTAGTCATAGTCTAGTCATAGTCTAGTCATAGTCTAGTCATAGTCTAGTCATAGTCTAGTCATAGTCTAGTCATAGTCTAGTCATAGTCTAGTCATAGTCTAGTCATAGTCTAGTCATAGTCTAGTCATAGTCTAGTCTAGTCTAGTCATAGTCTAGTCATAGTCTAGTCATAGTCAGTCATAGTCATAGTCATAGTCTAGTCATAGTCGTCATAGTCTAGTCATAGTCTAGTCATAGTCTAGTCATAGTCTAGTCATAGTCTAGTCAGTCTAGTCATAGTCTAGTCATAGTCTAGTCATAGTCTAGTCATAGTCTATCATAGTCTAGTCATAGTCTAGTCATAGTCTAGTCATAGTCTAGTCATAGTCTAGTCATAGTCTAGTCATCTAGTCATAGTCTAGTCTAGTCTAGTCATAGTCTAGTCATAGTCTAGTCATAGTCTAGTCATAGTCTAGTCATAGTCTAGTCAGTCTAGTCATAGTCTAGTCATAGTCTAGTCATAGTCTAGTCAGTCTAGTCATAGTCTAGTCATAGTCTAGTCATAGTCTAGTCTATCTAGTCATAGTCTAGTCATAGTCTAGTCATAGTCTAGTCATAGTCTAGTCATAGTCTAGTCATAGTCTAGTCATAGTCTAGTCATAGTCTAGTCATAGTCTAGTCATAGTCTAGTCTAGTCTAGTCATAGTCTAGTCATAGTCTAGTCATAGTCTAGTCATAGTCTAGTCATAGTCTAGTCATAGTCTAGTCATAGTCTAGTCATAGTCTAGTCATAGTCTAGTCATAGTCTAGTCATAGTCTAGTCATAGTCTAGTCATAGTCTAGTCATAGTCTAGTCATAGTCTAGTCATAGTCTAGTCATAGTCTAGTCATAGTCTAGTCATAGTCTAGTCATAGTCTAGTCATAGTCTAGTCATAGTCTAGTCTACAATCTAGTTTAAAATCTGGTCCATGGTCTAGACCATAGTGTAGTCCATAGTCTAGCCTATAGCCTAGTGCATAGTCTAGTCCATGGTCTAGTCCATAGTCTAGTCCATAGTCTAGTCCATAGTCTAGTCCATAGTCTAGTCCATTGTCTAGTCCATAGTCTAGTCCATAGTCTAGTCCATAGTCTAGTCCATAGTCTAGTCCATATCTAGTCCATAGTGTAGTTCATAGTCTAGTCCATAGTCTGGTCCATAGTCTAGTCCATAGTGTAGTTCATAGTCTAGTCCATAGTCTGGTCCATAGCCTAGTCCATAGTCTGGTCCGTAATTCAGTCATTAGTCTAGTCCATAGTCCCCCGATCTGCAGGGCATGTTAACGTATTCTTGAGCTCTATTGTATGTGCAAAGTCGCAGTCGTTTAGTCGTTGTACGTGTGATATTAAAATGCTCATAAAACGTGATATTATGCCGATTAAATAATGAGGAAAAAAGTTATTAAATATAAATAACCCAGCAAACTATGTTTAGCAAGTTCTAATAATATGAAAATTATTAATAAAATTAAAACCTGAATGGACCAGTTCACGAATTTTCAAATTCGTGAACGACATATAAAATGTTTATTTCAGGAATAATAACCCTCCAAACATGTAGCATGTAGGTTGTATATTTGGTTGCATATTCTTTGTCTATTATAGTTTCATTGTAAAATATAATGAAATGATTCGTTCACCATAGCCTACTATACGTAGGGTATGGTGAACGGGTACGACAGTAGGGTACATGAACTAATACATCCTTGAAAGATCAACACAAACACATTGCTACTAATATGCTTAAGTATTGCAATGTATTGGCACAAATTTAATGAAAATTGTTACTTTGTTAGAGTACAATAAGCACAAAATCAAAAAGAATAAACAAAAGCTGTCATTAATTATAAAAAAGTTGTCTGTAGTATAGCTTTGCATTCTCTTTATAATGATATTCATATTTCATTATGTTCGCAATAAAATAGTTTTTTTTGCAATATATAATTACACAAGTAAATTTATAAAGCTTCTTAGTAAAGCTTTTATTAAGAAAAAAGTTTTGTGAAAAAAAAACCTTTTAACACAAAATGGAATTATTGAATATTTAATTCATAATAAAAAAAATTTTGAAGAAAAAGCTTTTAAAAAGCTTTTTCTAAAAAATAATTTTTCTTTAGAAAAATTTTGTTAAAAAAATACTTTTTCATAAAAAAACTCTTAAAATTAAGTATAAATTTTCTAAGGTTTTCATAAATGCTTTGGAAATATTTTTTTACAAAAAGCTTTTTTTAAGAGATTTAAAAAACTTTAAATTTATTATCTATTATAACTGCCTTGATTAAAAAAAACCTTTTAAAAAGCTTTTTCTTAAAAAAACTTTTTTACAAAAAATTAAATATAAAAAGCTTTTTTGTAATAATATACATATTACTTACTATTACAAAATTACCTTTTTATGGAAAAGCAAGAATTAAAAAAACAGGAATTTGTTTTCTAAAAAAGCTTTTTTCATGATTACAAGATATGATAGAAATATAGTAATATTTAAAAAGTTTTTAAGATATTTTATTAAAAAGCATTTTCAAATAACTTTTTAATTTTTAAATAAAATTTTCTATCCTTAAAAGCTTTCTTAATATTTTTTTGTAAATAAAAAGCTTTTTTGTAAAATAGTTTAAAAATGGTTTCTTCAAAAAAATTTAAAATCTTTAAGAAAATTATTATAAAAAAGCTTTTAATATTAATATTTGGGGAAAATTAAAAATTTGTAAGAAAATTAAAAGTTTTAGACAATTTATTTCAATTTATTTTAAAAATCTTTTTGCAAAGAGTTTTTTTTAAAGTTAATTAAAAAAAAACTTTATCATAAAAACTTTTACATCTAGCTTTTTTGCAGCTAGCTTTTTCATAAAAAAAATTTTGTAGAAAGTTTTTTTTCATAAAAAAGCTTTTTTGCAGAAACAGCTTTTTCACAAAAAAACATTTTTACAGAAAGAACTCTTTCATAAAAAAGCTTCTTTACAGAAAAAGTTTTATATAAAAAAGCTTTTTTTACAGAAAGAGTTTATTAATAAAAACGTTTTTTTACAGAAAGATCATATTCATAAAAAAGCTTTTTTACAGAAAGAGCTTTTTCATAAAAATGCTTTTTTACAGAAAGAGCTTTTTCATAAAAATGCTTTTTTACAGAAAGAGCATATTCATAAAAAAAGCTTTTTTTGCAGAAAGAGCTTTTTAATAAAAAAGTTTTTTTACAGAAAGAGCTTTTTCATAAAAAAGCTTTTTTGCAGAAAGAGCTTTTTCATAAAAAAGCTTTTGTAGAGAAAGAGCTTTTTCATAAAAAAGCTTTTGTACAGAAAGATCTTTTTCATAAAAAAGCTTTTTTACAGGAAGAGCTTTTTCATAAAAAAGCATTTTTACAGAAAGAGCTTTTCCATAAAAAAGCTTTTTTACAGAAACAGCTTTTTCATAAAAAAGCTTTTCGAACATTTTTTTATAAAAGGAGCTATTAAGAGCTTTTCCTTAACTTTTTTTTCAAAAAAAGCTTTTACGTAATAAAAACATATTTGGAAGAAATTTTTAAGAAGAACTTCATAAAGAAAATTTTAATTTAAATTTTTTTAGACAACTAAACTGGAACTATTTCTTCTTTAGTTTAAAATCAAGCAATATAACATTCCACCAAAAACTGGACATAAATCATATAATATCATTTCATATATTTATATACTTTTCGAAGGATTCTTCAAGTTAAATGCATTTTTCTTTACTCTACTTTTCCAGCAGCAACATTTTATGTCTCAGACCACGAATGAAAAGATTTTTTTCAGATTTTCTAAAGCCATGTGTGTTTAACTTTATGTGATTTAAATAAATGCGTTTTATTTTTTCATTCTTACTTTTTTTATTTCTTCGAATATTTTATCACTTCTTTGAAAAACAACTTATGGATGCACACAATCAATGATATTCAGATTTAAAGTATAAGAAATTTACATAAAGGGGGGTGGCGGAAAAAACAAAAGTAAAAAGTTTTATATAATAATCGATTTTCTTAATATTAATATGAAG